ATGCTCTTTTTACAGTTTAGAAAAATGATGTGCATGACTTCTCAGGAAATGAATTGCAAAATTAAAAATAGAAAATGCAATTCTGCTTCCTAATTCCTTTCTATATCTCCACAAATATACCAGTATTTCTGTGCTACCACAGGGGTGAGCCCTAAGCTTAGCAGTTTGTGATGTGGTTTTAATGGTGTTCATGTAAAAAGATGCTCACTCAGCAGCTGGAGATCACCAGCTTTTAGCATTGTCAGATGGTGCTTAATTATATTGCACTGTTGCAGGCATTTGCTGTGTAGTGTAAATAGCTGCATAAAATTGAAAAGTACTAGCAGGATGCTTTGGTTAATTGTTTCTGACCATCTAACTATTAAAACTGCTCTCTTTTAGGGGCATCTGGCTCTGGTCAGAGGAAAAACAAAGGTGGTAAAGTAAGCCCCACCAACTTTTCATCATCGACTCCTGGCAGTCGACTGGGTGGCAACATAGTTCTGCCAAATGGAGGGCTGACAATAAGGGACCCTGCCACTGGAGCTCAGTATGTGCAAATTCAGCTTCTTCAGGTAAGAGCTAAGGAGAAAAAAACATGCTCATCTTCTCTGTTACCCAAATTGGCACATTTGTGGAAGAATTTGACTGTTTGTGAACTCAGGTACTACTGCCCCTGGATGAGATCATGAGCTCTGCAGTATTCTTACATTATTCCACATCTCAATTACAAAGTAAATATTAAAACAAGTAAATATTAAAACAAGTAAATATTAAAACAAGTAAATATTAAAACAAGTAAATATTAAAACAAGTAAATATTAAAACAAGTAAATACTTAAGTATAAATAGTAATTAGACAAAATATAAATAAATATTAAAGTAAGTAAATGAAACTGACTTGAAAACATTCCTGCAAAAGGAAGTTTCAGCCTTAACTGTTATTTTTCTAAACTGTTGAAATGAAGCTTTAAAAAACCCAAAACAACCTAGTAATTGGTGTGGACTGATTAGAGGAGCATGAAAGGTAATAGTTTTTGGCCAGGTGTGTATCTGTGTTGTATTCAGAGAGAGGGGTAAGTTCCTTCTGCTTTACTCCTAAACAACTATGGTATGGAGGAAGCTGTGGGCAGAGTTCTCCATCCATCTAGTTTTCTGAGGGATGTTTGTAACATAACAAACATGAAAGTTTGTAACTTTTATGTTAAGTATCAGCTTTATGCAAACATGGTGAAACTTGTTTCACATTTCTGAGTGTTACATTTGTTGGAAGATGAACAATTCCTTCCTTTTCAGATCTTGCCAGTGGTCCTGATGAAGACAGGATAATAGGTTGTACTCTGGGTTGGGTTCAGATTTAAGTGGTAGTTAGCTTTCTACATGTTTGTACATCTAGGCCTTACTAGTACTGTGCAGTGGCTTTAGCAGATTTTTTAACATCATGAGGCTGAGTGAAATTTGCCATATTGTGCTGAGATGCCTGGGGGTCGTATAATTTTATCATATTTCTGTGTTCACAGGATGATTCCCCAGGAGAGGGAGATTTGCCCTTTCAGCTGAGCTCCCAGTCCTCCTCATCACATTCTCAGCTTACAGTGGATTTACCTGTTCACATACTTCAGGTACAGCACGTCAAGCCATTGGGTTTTATTGCCTTGCTTGAAAGTGAAGACAGTTTACTGTAAACACTCACATTCTGCTTAATGAAAGTACCTTTTTTTCCATTGGGAGTTTAATTTCACTCACACGAAGTAGTAAGCAGAGAGCTGCATTACACAATTTATCTTGTGTCTGTTACTAACCTTTGACACATCATAGGTGGTTGTTTCTCTTCCTCTGTTACTGAGTAATGAATAACTAAATGTTACTCATTTATTCTGAAGTGCCCCCATCCTTATTTTCCTGATCCCAGCCTGCAGATAGTAGGTGGGTCAATAAAGAATCAGAATTGGAATGTAACAGGCTACAGGAAGGATAGGAAGTGGGAAGTAGAATCTTCAGCCTAGATTTCAGAATGGTGTCCATATGGGAATGGCAGGTTACAAAGCTTACTCAGGGGCCCTCAGTTTTGATAAACTCTGCAATGCACCTATTCTTGCCAAGTGGGCTTCTCCTAGGTAGAAAATAAAGCTTTTTTTATTGAGGAGGGGCACCTTACTGTGCTAAACCTAGAAATACAAGAAGAGTAGGGTTGTTGGCCGTGGTAGAGAGTTAATGGAGGAAAACCAAATAGCAATTTTAAATTTAAATGCTCATCTGAAGTGTTCCACAGAAAAACTGTGGCAGCATTGTTTGGGTGGATCCCCAAAGTAGGAAAACTTTGGGATTCCCCTGAACCATTCAAAACATTGCTGTGCTGTTGAATAAATGTCAAGATAATCTTGCTGATAAGCAGTAAAAGCATCTAGAGGTGAAAGTACTGAACTCTTCATGCTGTCTGTTTGCTTTAACAGGAACCACACAATTCCACTGAAGATGATGCAGGTTCTGATAACTCTCAGTTCACTGGAAGCACAATAAACTTACAGGATCTGGAATGACCATTATTAAGAACAGTTACTTGAAAACAAATTGGGCAATCATGACAGAGTGAGATAACTATATGGGTCTTTTTCTGAGGAAAATATGAAAAGTAGGAGAACTGAAGTATGGTTGCACTCTTTGTGATTTGCTAAAGACAGTTGCAGCTGAAAGATTTTCTTAAAAAATGTAAATCCCACTTGATGTGCCTGTGTAAGATACCCTGTCTGCCTGGTGGTCGGGGAGGCTGAGGCAGACTGCTGTACAGTGTTGTTTCAGGGAGAAGTACTGTATTACACTTCAAACTGAGGTAATATTTACTGTTTTCACAGGAAACCAAGTATTCTACAGCTAACAAGTGCAAATTTATAATCCTGCCTATGACAGTTAAAAGTTTCTTTCCATTGGTTTCCTGCTGGAGCCAGTGGCATCGAGGAATTAAGAGCTAAAATTTGCAAGTGTTTTCCACACACAAAACCCATAATTGTTTTGGCCTGTGTTTTGGCAGAAAACTGGAATAAAGTGTCACATGTAACAAAATTAACGTTCTATGCCATGAAAATGAGATGCTCTAAAATCTTTGTTTTAGAAAGCTAGATTCTAAATGTTAACTTAGCTGTGAATCAGTTTGTAGCTCATGTTGAGTTTCTCCCTTTCCTTACTCCCACGTCCCAAATACTTTGCTGAATTCTTCCAGCAAAACTTGAAAAAGAAAACTGCAATAGAACTGTACTCACTGTAAGTGATTAGCTAAGAGTCCAACAGCATCTGAGAGAGGTTTGTTATTATCTTTGTGTTCCCTTTTTTGGGAGGAATGTTGACTGTCCTGTAAATTTAAGCACCTTGATTTTTGTCTCATCTATAAACCGCTGCCAAGTTACCTGTAAACTGGCCACTACTATTTTATTTTGAGTTGTTTGATGTTTTTGTTTTTTTTAATGGAACACTGTTAACACATGTTCTTTATTGCTATCCCAGAGTGCCACATGCACGTGCAGCTTACGGCTGGTTTACAGAATATGCAGTTGTCAGAGTATTTTGTGAGGGGAAAAGAATTGTTACCCAGAGAGATTTGCCCCACTGAAAAACTGCAGTTTCTCTTGGGGCTGGGGGGAGAGGTTGTATGTACTCTACTTATCTGGATTGCAGACACCTAAATAAGTATAGGGTTGTATAGGGGAAAAAAACCACCTTTGGTTACGTTTTAAGGTAGTAATTTAAATGTTTCTTATGGTGATGTTCTGAATGCCTATAAAAGTATGTATAGGAGTTTGATAAAAGGCTGTATGTACTGTTTTTTTTTTATTCTCAGTGAGGTGTGTGTATGCACGTATGTGTATTTTTTTTTTTTACAAAATAAGATATGTCACAGAGGGGAACGTTGTGATCTTTCTAATCTTGCACATATTTATTTATTTTACAGTTATACTGATGTTAAATTCACATGAGGTTGTTCAGAAATGCTTTTACTTCCTGTGCCTTTTGAACTATGTATGTGTCCATATAAATGCTTTTTTTGATTGAAGACCTGGGGAGGAAAAAAGCATACAGGTTACACTGAACTTCAGCTCCTGATTTGTAGGCAGTATTATATCCTCTGGTTGAACCAGTTTTATTTTTCTATCTTTAGCCTAACTGAGCATTGAGGTCTCTCTGTTCCTCTCACTCTGAGTTTACAGCTTATGTCCAGGGAAAGTCTTAACCTTCTCAGGCTGGGTTTCCAAACCAAACTGTTGATAGATGAGATCTACCCAGTGGCTGTGACTGCAGCATGGAGTCCACTCCTGAGAGAGAGAGAGATTGAGAAGGAGTTGTGCTCCAGGGACTCCTTGGTCTTGCTCTAGTGGTCACCATGCTCTCCCTGGAAGCTGAGACACCTTGAGCTCCCAATGCCTGCATTATTCTGTTCTCAAGGACCATACCAGTTCTTACTCTATTAAAATGGCCAAGGAACACTCCATCTTTTTATGGGACTTGCAACCAAATCTTTCTACTTCTGAAAATGTACCTCACTCAGCTTTGTAAGTGAATGTAAAGTGCTAACCTCTTGGGGCAGAAAATTGGATTACTTGGCTTGGAGTCCATTGCTGGCAATGGATACCTGAAGAACTGCTGGTGCAAAAGGGTTAATAAAGCTTTTTTTTTATGGTCAGTTTGTCACTGGGTGTTGTTCTTTGCTTGGATGCATCTGACATAAAGCTAATTACTAGCAGCTTGATTTCTGCAGAGCCTGTGTTTTTCCTTTGGTTGCGTCTTTTCCACAGTAGTGGGGTGGAGTCTGTAATGAAACCCATCCTTTGGATTAAAGCATAGCCATTGTTTTTTATAGCCCTTCAACAAACTTGTGATTATCTTAAGTGTCTGGCAGGTGCCTGACTTAGTTGTGCCTTAACAAAAGTTGTCACCCGGGACTGTGATAGATCTCTCTGCTCGGGTTTGTAGGCATAGAGCTACTGGCATTAAACACTGAATGAGAAAAGCATTGGTGCTTAGCAGGAGCCTGAGAAGCAAAATAAGATAATTTTTATTTCTTTTCTTAGGCAAAATATCAATGGGCGGGAAAAGAGGCTGCAAATTTTCCCTGGAGTCTTAGAATAGGGGAAGAAGGAAGTTTCATGGGACTGAAGTTGTTCAACTGCGCAAAGACAGAATGTAGATCTACAAGACTAGTTCTAGAGCAGCTTCAGCCCTACGTGCTGTGATTGAGGCTGTGCTGTCAAGAGAAATAATACATTTGTTCTTCCTTCTCCTTATCTATTTGTTCTTGGGTGGTCGTCTTCTCCTTCCTGGCAGGTGGATTGGAATGAAACAACAGCTTCCTGCCATTCTGCAGAGAAAGAAGAGGTATGTTAATCAGTGCTGTGTCGGTGTGTCTGAGCCACGTGGCTAAAGCTGTTTCATGAAGGACCATGGCCCCTTGCTCTCTATTTTCTGGGCAGGCTGCAGTGTGTCTTAAGTGTGTTTTTTGTATTAGAAAGTGTACGTGAAGCACCTGAAGGCTGTGTGTGTGCTCGTGCTTCAGCTGCTACAACGTACTGTTGTACCTACAACTGGTTTCTGACTCATTTGTACTGTCTCAGGAAGAGCAGGGGAAGTTGGAAGTCCAAAGAAATATCAGCGGGAGCCTGCAGAACCCTCTGTTTTCTCTTGGCTAAAGGGCAGGGACTCGTGGCACCTGTTCTGTCACCCATGCTGTCAGTGCTTTGGTGTGTGACAGAGCTGGGGTGTCCTCGCTGCCGTGTTGGCCTGTGGAAGGTGCAGCAGGAGCTGTGGCTGAAGCTTAGTTTGGCATAATATGGCACATGTCAGAAAAGGTGTGGTTTGATGGGATGGCGAAGCTGACTGAGGGTCTTGCTGCTGTTGACAGGTGTGTCTTGCTCATGCCCAGTTCTTCATTTGCCAGTTTTCTTGCTTTGTTTAATACAGCCAAGTTAATGAGTTGAAATGAGCTTACTGAGAATTGGCAAGTAATGGAGGGAGCCATGTGGTCGAGAGAAGGATAGGAGAAAGACAATGGAAGGATACTGAGCTGGAAGAGTGTGCACTGTGACTGACTTCCCAGCAGCGGCTTAAGTTACATCACTCCTGTAAATTGTAAGTTGTGCTATGCCTGGCTATTGGTGCCATCCCCACACAGCTGTGGAGGCCCCTAGTAACACTATTCCCTTAGACACTTGCTATTCAGGTACCTCTAGCTTCCCTGAAGTGGGCTATTGAGGTGAGAATCACTGCACTTACCTTTTTTTCTACAGTTGCCTGGAATCTTTCCATGTCCCTTTTCAATCCTTCCTCCTGCTGCTGCTTCTGTTTCAGCTTTTCCTCTCTGAGCCTTTTGAAGGGAGGAAATAAAGGATGAGTTAAATCCAGCATGCAGCTACACCAGATGTGCTTTTGACCCACAGCATGAACATCTAACATTACATTTTACATCACACCTTACATGTAACCATGTAGGACCCACCAGAGCATGGGGGTTTGGGTGCAGCCTTTGCTGGAGTTTGTTACTGGGAAGGTGGTAGCAGAGAAGCACTCACCACAGTTGGTCCTACTCTTTCTGGAGTGATGAGTGGAAAAAAGCATGTCAGGCTTTGAAATGGAGATATTGGACAGTTGTTTTCTGTTGCAGACATGCTCTGTGCCACCTTCAGCAGGTGACTTACACTCTGCAGTTGACCAGGATGCCCACCAGCTTTGTGGGTGAGTGATGTTTATAGGAGGGTTTTACACCCACGGAGCTACACATTGCTCAGATGGGCACAGTGGAGGCCAATACTGGCAAGTGGTTCCAATTCCCTATGGAAATGAAGCGCTGGAACAGAAATGGGATCAAGCTGTGGAATGCTGAGGCCCAGAGGAACTGAATTCTAAACCTTGTGATCCTGAGGAAAACTTTAAATGCTTTTTGAAGTTTTTTTTTTTAGTTTGATTGGTTTTGTTTTTATTTGGGGTGTGGGGTATGTGGTGTCAGGGTCTTCCCTGAATTATTCTCCTCCATCCCCAGCATAGAATAAATGTGTGTCTTATTTTGTAATTTAAGAGTGCAAACCCATTCACAGAACATCAGGAAGAAACACCACACCCTTTCTACTCCAAAGCTGAATAAAGATACAGAGAAAGAGTAAGCAGGAGGGAAATATCACTGCTCTGGCTTTAAATCCTCAGACTATTCTCATTCACCTGAAGATGGCCTGATAACGGTCAGCAGTTCATCTATCTTTGCAATTTTTGAGGGGAAATTTCATGTAAGTGACTGGGCCAAAAGGAATGTGTCTTATCTTGGAACCTGAATTGATTGTGTTAATTGGCTACTATTTAATAAAACAAGTCAAATTTAAGAGTTTTGTAGAAGAAACATTTGAAAGCTGTCATTGCTGTGAAATACCCTTATGTACCTATTGAATACCTGACAAAATATCAGGGCATGGCAGACTTTGAGTGTGTTAACTAGAGGAGTAATTTTCTATTTAATCAGTTTAAAAGGAGTAATTTTCTATTTAATCAGATTAAATATTGTTACTGTAAATAGTCTTCTTAAAATAATGATTCTCATAATTGAGTTTGGTTTGTTTGTGAGTTTGGTGTTTTTTATTCTTCTGAATTTTTCCCTTCTCCAATGTAGCTTGCAGGTCTTTTCTAATGTAGCTATGAGCTGCTGCTCGCTGCTCAGGAGACTCAAGTTCTATGAATGTGGAACCCTTACAGAAGAAAAATGGTATGGATTGGTCACATGGGATTTCAGATTGCTGCCACAGTTTCTTGGGTTGATTTGACTCTTTTGGCTGTCAACATTTAAAAATAGAGGTATATTCCAGAAGGTGGTCTTGCCTTACCTTGCCCTCTTTTCCTTTTTTATGGCTTTCTGAGCCTTTTCTATCTGTGATGATGGAATTCCCTCCAGGTTATCCAGTAAATCATTGAGCTGTTTTTCTATTACTTTTAGCATCTCTATTGTCTTCAGGTTTGTCTCATTGTCTCCAGTGCATTGGGAATAGACTTCCAGCACCTTCTTCTTCAGGCTTGCGAGCATTTGGTCCTAGAGGTAAGAGGAGGTATGTAAGAGGCACATCTGGGTCCTGCCCAGTAGAACCATAATATCTCTCCAAAACCAAAGGAAGTCAGTAAAGGAAACACTGTAATTTCCCCAACAAGACTCAGTTGCTTGATTCGCGGTTGGCTTAGCAGCAGTGGCTGGGACAGATGGCTTTATTGAGCCTTTCTCCTGTTGGTCTCATCTTCCCAGCTTTGCTGTGACTTGGGGCAGGTTTTGGCTGCCCAGGTGTCTTTATGGCCCCTGCTCTCACCTCATAGCAGCTGCATGGAGCAGACACATTTGCTGTCTCAGCAGTGCCCTAAACCTGCCTTTGCTATAGCTCCATTGCTGGGAAATAGTGCTGATCCCTGCCCAGTGAACCCACTGCCTGCTCTGTTCCTGGGATATGGATATGGCTGGTGGAGAGGAACCACTTACGCCCATGTGAACCCCCCTTGCCTTGATCTCAGCGTGTACCTGGTCATTAGCTTCATGTTCTCCACAGGAAAAGAGGTGGACTCTGAGCTTCAGATCTGCTATTCTCTCTTCTTCCTGGGCGACAGCGGACTGCAGGGTGTTTACCTCCTGTTTCAGCTCTGCTAGCTCCTTCTCCCTAGGCCAGAAGAGAGAGGAGGTATTTGGAAAGGGCATCTCTGAAACACAGGGCTCTTCTGCTCCCCCCAGCCTGGGCCCATCCCTTCTACTGCCAGCAGATGGAGGTAACACTTCAGCTTTTCCTGGAAATTTTACCCACAGCCTTGAGAGCTTCTGTTTTTTCTGGAAAAACAGTTTCTGTGCTAGTGTGAGGAAGGAAAAAGTAGCCTAGCTAAACTAAGATTTTTTAATAGTCAGTGGGGGATCCAGATTTAAAAACTTTCACAAGGGGATAAATTACACTTTAAATGGGAATATGTGTGTCTAGCTGCCATTGAAATAGTATATTACAATGACACTTGGGTTCCCTTCTGTCTTCCTCTTAGAAGGTTTTACATTGAGTCATTGTAGGTGCTGATCTGGATCACTCCAGAAATTGCCTTGTTTCTTCCTTTGATCTTCCTTTATGAGAATTACACAATGCTTCTGTCTCATATCCACTCCAGGATGCTAAATGCATCAGTTCCCTAGTCTGCACCTTGAGGACTAAGGAATTAGTCCCAAGCTCAAGCCTTATCTTCTAAATTAAACATAGATGGGACACTTTCCTGGGAGCTCACAACAGAGTCTCTGTTGCATGCTGTGTGACCAGCATTACATGTGGTCTGCAGGTAGTGAGGTGCTAGTGGTGGGCAGAGGGGTCCCTTCCCATCTCTTGCAGGATCACACTTACATGCTTTCGTGTGTGGTGATGAAAGTGTGCTGGACCTTGTTCCATTTTTCCTCAATATCCTGGGAATTCCGGATGAAGGATATGTTCTCATCCTGCATCTTCATGAAAGTAATCAGCAGTTGTTCGGGATGAGTAAAATACAGCTCAGGCTCCTAGGGTGGAAAACAGATGTGATGAGTGTTTTTCCTCCTCCAGCCTCTTGAACTACATGGGGGTTGGTCTGCACCAGCCCTGGCTGTTCAAACACTCTTCCATCAAGAGAGGTCTGTGGCTGTCCATTTACAAATGTCTCCCACCTTCCTGCCATGTGTGTAGCTTTACTCTGCCTCACCAGCTCACCCCCAAAACAAGTAGCGTTTTGGGGGGTAAAAAGTGATTCAAACATCTGTGAGAGGAAAGCTTCAATTTCAGACATAAACCAGTAACTTCACTAATTTAAAAATCTTCCATTACATGATGTCATATCAGGTTGGGGGATGACAAGCTTAGAGATGATGGCAGGTTTTTGGAAACTGGAGGAGGAAAGTTAAACTAAACTATTTATAATACATATTGCCAAAACATGAACTTTTATGAATGTATAAACATACGTTTATAATTTGTGGCTACAGTAACTCCTCAGTACCATAACTAATGGTTATAAGGCGAGGGAAATTAGTAATATCAATAAATGGCACAGGACAAACCGAAAATGTAAATATTTCAACATAGGACTTCTGACCTCATCTTCATCCGAGCTGATTTCATTTTCTCCTTCCTCCAAGGAACTTCTGAAAAAGCATTTTGTGTATTAGGCCCTTAGAGAAATGAGAGCTCACAGGAGACCTTGTTAGTGACTTATGAACACTGGGGTTTTTTTGCTATTGCTGTTTGCTCCTCCACAGTCCTTTGCACATTCCCACATTTGCCTCCCCATGGCTGTGGCCTGTTTGGGTGTCAGTAGGATCTAGAGGTCACACAAACAGGCCCTGAGCAAGCTGCCTTTTGTGCTGCTCCAGGCTGTGCTGTCCCAGTGGGACTGGGACATGACATGTGAGCGTGAACTGATGGTGTTGATCCAAATGCCTTTAAACTCACTGGGAGGTTTTGACTCTTGGGCAAAGAGAAGGCAAAGGCAAGAGCCTTACTAGAAAGGCTCAGGCAGCAGCAGCAGCAGCACAAATGTAGAAGAAGCCTTGTGCTCTTTGTGAGACATAGTACTGCTCCTAAACGACACGGTGTAGCCACCATGGGGAGACTGCAGTTTTTACTTGCCCTGGGAGAAGCTTGTTGAGTGCTTCTTCCTCTGTACAAGAGATAAAAGAGGGGGCAAGAGGTGCCTGGCTGCTCTTTGCAGCACAGTCTGTTCACCACCTTCACTTGCACCTGTCACCCTGTGCCATGGAGGGGTTAAAAACCCTTTGTTTGCATCATCTTAGTGCCAGCCCCACTTGGGGCAGGGCTCTCAGCAGAGGATTTAAGGACAGAGCTCTGTTGGAGTAGGCACATAGGTACTGACTTGCACACCTGATGGCTTTCTACTGGTATTTGGATTTGTTCCAATAAGCCCCAGCTCTCAGCATGCCTGCAGCAAAGGTGAGGAGTAGGATTCCCCTCTGCTGACTCCCAGTCAACTGAGTGCTCTCAGCAAAGGTGAGGAGTAGGATTCCCCTCTGCTGACTCCCAGTCAACTGAGTGCTCTCTGCAGTATTTAAGTGTGTTGTTTGCATTGTCTTGTACTTACAGTTCTCTTGTTAAGAGAGGCTTCAGAAACTGTTTGAGCTGTGGCCTGATATCACGTGACCTGGAATCCAAACTCTCTGAATACAGCAGGGAACTTGGCATATCTGTAAAACTGATGGTATGGGCAGTCCTGGCTGTCACACCCTGGTCTGGAGACAAGAAGAGAGGTACTCAAAGCCTGGGGCTGTCCCAAAGAGGAGCAGGCAGCACTTCCCTGGCACTCATGGCACTCACCCTGCTCTGCCCCAGGGGCAGATGAGGCACTCCCTTCATTAGCTCTGGATTCTGTTTTCAAATCCTTGTCCTTTTTGTGCTTTTTTCCGTGTTCCTTCTGCCACTCTTTTGGAGACAGCTGATAGAGGATGTCCCTGTACATCTTGTACTCCTGCAGAGTATCCTGAATTCTGGATATATCACTGGATTAAGAGAAGTGGACAAAGTTTTTTAGCAGGGAGGAAAGCCTCTGCTTGAACACCTTCTTTCTTGCTCTTGATATTCAGCTTAACCCAGAGAAGGGACAAGAGGGCACATATTTTCATGGACATGCAAAAACAAATGGGAACCTGCCCCACATGTTCTTTGTGGTTCCTCATGTGGAAGCTGCCTGGTCATATCTCTGTGGCCAGAGCCTTGATATGTCACTGGGCTTGCTAATTTTGGAATTTTTACTTGAAAAGGAATGAGAAATTTTGCCAGCTCAACTCATAATGGTTATTACAGTTATTTCTTTTGTCTTTCCACGGGTGCCCATTAAAATGCATCGCTTAGTTTTGTTTGGTTTTTAATCTGATACTAAGCATTTGATTTTGGTTTTGGAATGTTTACACTTCTTAACAATATTAATAAAAACTAGTCAAGTTGTTTTAGAAACAAAGCCAGCATCTGGAAAACAAAAGCCAAAACATTTTGACTCTTAAAATGGAACATTTTTGGAAATCTTTCACCCCCAAGGACTGTGAAAGTACACCAGTGCAAGGGCTGTTAAAGGCCAAGCAGGAATAATGAGCAACTATTACCCTTGGACCTTCGTTATTTGGGAATTGATTGCCCGGAGCTCCATTATTTTCTTTCTCTTTGCTGAGGTTTCTTCTTTTGCCCTAGGAAAGAATGCATAAATATAAGACATTAAACAATTTAGTAGTGAGTAGTGAATTGAGGTGCATATGAAACAGCAAAAAAGATGTGATACAAGCACTAGAAGTCTGTGTTACGGGTGTATCCCAGGTGATGTTTGTTTCCTGCCTCAAGGCCCTACTTCTCTTGGCAAGGAATATGTCATGCCAGTGTTTAGATCTCCCTAACTTGGCTGCTGCTGAGCATCAGTTGCTGCTCTGCCCTTGTGATACCTGTAACGGGCCAAAGTGCTCAGCCTCCTTCACTGAGGGGACTGTTCCTGCTTTGAGGAGTTGGGCAGAGGCATCTCTCCCTAGTAAGGGTGCTGTGAGAAGAATGGAAGTGGTGGGGCCAGCAGTAGGTTTCTTGCTGCCACCAGATCAAGGGCTTTTGCAATGAGAGTATTCCCTGGCTGTTGTTCTCCTTCTTCTCTTTTATTGAATGTGTGGGGAGAAAGTGCCACCAGGACTGTAACTCTGGGAAAATCAAGAGTGTTTCATAGCCAAAAACCCTGCAGGAGGGTCAAGCAGAAAATCTCCTGTGTCCAGCACGAAAGAGCACACGGTTCAGTGTTCCTTACATTTTCAGGGCTTTGACAGAGCTATTTTGGTTCTCCTGCAGGAACTCCTCAAACATGGCAGCATCCTTCTCCATCCTTTTCTCAGCCTTTTCCAGTTTTTTTTCCTCATTCTTTGCTATGTCCTCCATCTTTTTAATTTCATCTCGCTTCACTGCCATGGCATACTGAAATGAACCCCAAAGGCAACACAGTCACATTGGTTGGTTGATTTTAAAGGTACATTGGTTAAGCTTTGTTCTTGGTTACTGTATTACCTGATAGTTGTTGGCAGAGACGGTAAGGACTTAAAACCAAGGTGTGTGTCTTAATGCATAGAGGTATATGGAGGCCAGTGGTTATTTCAGAAGGAACATAACAAAGAAGCAGTGAAACTAAAGACAGAATCCAAAAGTCCCAGCACTGTGTTAACTCCTGGCTGACAAAGATTGATTCATTCAGTTTTGTTACAGCACAAAAATAGAGATGAATAATGGGGATATTCCAGCACAGTTACTCCATCCCCTTATTTTGAGTTCAGAATGGCTCCCAGCTACAATTTATGTATAGAACAGCAGGAGTCAAAAGGCCAGGGTATCTGTGCATCTAACAACTGAAATAGTTGCAGGGTGGCTATGGAATGATGCAAATGACATATGCTCCTTTATTTCTTGATTGGGAATTGCTGGGCTACAGACTATTAGTGTCTGTAACACAGGACCTGGACAGTCAATCCATGAGGTCTGATGTGTGCCTCCTTGGAAAGATCTATAGGCAGTGCATCTCAGGGGAAAAAACACCAAAACAAAGCAACACAGAGAAGAGTAATTAAATGAAGAGAAAGTAACATTCTAAAAGCAAAGTACCTCAAGAAAAAAGATCTCTCTTCTGTCATTTAGGTAGCCATGGAAGGTCTCCCTTTCTAATGCGTAGTCTGAAATTAGAATGTAAAGTTGCTTAGACTAAAGGGGAAAATATGGCTAAGGCAAAACACAGTGAATATGTGGGCTACCATGAGCATGGATCTGGTTGGCATTGGAGTCAGCAATACTGGTTATTGTATTACAGTTTTTACCTTGTTTAGGATCAGTTTCATGGAGTAAATTCAGATGGAATGGAGCCGAGAATCCGGTCCTTGTCCTCTAGACATTAATGGGAAAGCTACTGCTCATGTCAGAGGTAGAAAATTTAGGCCTGTATCCACTAAAATCCAACTTTAGGTCAGCTTAGTAGAAATGTTTCTATTACAGAAGGTCCTGCAAACTCAGGTGGCTCCCAGCAGATTCTGAGAGCTCCCAGATACTGTGAAGGACAGTGGAACCCAGGCTACTGTGGAGGGGCTGCCATGTGCTCTGTATGTAAATGCATGAGATGGAGATGGTTCAGTCACACAGAGGTTGGCAAGATACAGCCAACTATTGTGTCTGCAAGACCTCACCAAAGTCAGCCAGAGCCAACTGCTCCTCCCATCCCCTCTTTGCCTTAGGCTGTTTCCCAGCTGAGCAGCACCACTGCAAAGACAGTGACTGTTCTGCACCTTTTTGCATGCCTAACTTCCGTGAGAGAATCTCCTGAAGAACTTTCAGTCTCTCTTCACTTGTTGCCTGTTTTCTGCTCTCCTCTTCTTCCTCCTTTTTCAGAGCTTTCATCAACCCACTTTTTTCTTTTATTTTAGTGGAGTAAGTAGTTTTCTCATGGACTTTCAAGGTCTTCTTCCTTTCATGTTCCTGTGGGAAGTCAGATACGTGGACAGTTTGATTGTGTGCTTTGTTTGCTGTGGTTTTTAAAGTCATGAGTAGCTATTCACAGTCTAGAAATTTGCAGACTGCTGATATTCTGATGATGCATGTTTGCCCGTTTTTTCTGACTAATCCTAGTGATATTCTCTCTTGAGGCAACTGAAAAGCTAAATTCCTTAGCTCTTGTTCTCATTAGTATGTTGATTTGTATTCTGCATCCGTCCACCAGCTGTGCTAATTTGTACCTACTCAGTGTCCTCATTTTTCCTTCCTGGATTATTCCTCTGAGTGAATGGAAATTTTCTGAGATTCATCCTATAAGTCCCCTAGTTAAAGGGAACAACAGGACAGCCCACACTTAACCAGTCAGTCCAATTTTCCCAATGGCACATAAACCACCAAGTTCAGATTGAGAGGATCTTTTCAAACCCACTCTAGACCTTTCTGGAGGACAAAAGGTTGTTCCTGCTCAGTGTTTTCTTATGGACTGAAGTGTAATTCATTGCTGTCTGCACAGTTTGGCCATGGGTTATGCTGAGGACATCCCTCAGCAGACACCCTTAGTGCACTTCTTCCCAAGTTCCTCCCTGTACTTATATAGTGACCTTCAACCCAAGCAAGAACCAGACTGTATCAGTCATCAGTGTGAGGTGAGGAGGCCTTGCTAAAGCTTGTTTGGATCCCTCCCACTGTGCTTTAGAAACAAAGACCTCTTGCTTCTTTCCACACTGCTGCCAGGCTGTGTGACCATGTGCAACAGTCAGACCAGAGAATCACAGAATGACTTGGCTTGGAAGGGACCTTAAAGATAAACTAGTTCCAACACCTCTGCCATGGGCAGGGACACCTTCCACTAGACCAGCTTGCTCAAAGCCCCATCCAACCTGGCCTTGGACACTTCCAGGGATGGCGCAGCCACAGCTTTGAGCAACCTGTTCCAGTGCCTCACTACCCTCTGAGTAAAGAATTTCTTCCTCACATCTAATCTATATCTCTTCTCTTTAGGTTTAAAATAATTCCCCCTGGTTCTTTCACTATCTGTTTCTGTAAAAAGTTGCTGTTCTTTTTTTGATAAGCACCCTCTGAGTACTGAAAGACTGCAGTCAGGTCTCCCAGAGCCTTTTCCTCTCTGGGCTGAACATCCCCAGGTTTCTCATGAAGTGATCTTTTGATCTCTCATGCACTAAAATTTGGTACTCATTGGTTGGTTGCCTGCCCTAGTAGGTGCTTGTTAAATACATTGGCCTAGAGCATGTATACACACCGCCTTTGCCTTTTTGATTTCCTTGTCCCTTAGTGCAAAAATATCAGCATCTGATGGGATTGTAAACGGATTTTTCGTTGGGTTTTCTTCATCCTCGTCAGAGCTTTCTGCAAAAAACAAATGGATGAGGATGTAGAAGACGTGAAGCAGAATATCAGGACTCAGTGCAAAGGGAGTGTGATCTGCTGCATCACGCCTGGAGGGTGGGCAGCTGTGCTCCCAGCTGCAGGTGTCTAATGGTGCTGGAGCAGGGAGCCGGATAGGGCTTATGAGAATCCACCGATATAACTGAGACCTCTGTATGGTTTATGTCACTTGACCATATCTAATGATCAGCTGAGGATTTCAGACAGGGATTTTTGTAGGTCTGCAGCTGTTTTACCCACCTCATCTGTTTGTGGGCAGAAGAATTTGACTACAGGCCTCTCCTTTGACTGAACAAGGGAAGGCTGCCGGAGCATTGTGTCCTTACCTGACAGCACAAGGCGGGTTTCCATTGCAGGGCTGGAAGAGAGACTTTTAGATGTTGATGCTGTGTGTTGAGATGGTGTCCTTGACCCTGGCCCAAAGAAAACCATAAACAAGTCAATCAGTTGGGACCTGCCAGTAACTGATGTGGTAAGTTTTACAGCAGTGGTAGGCCTAGGGGCTTTCTGGATCTTAACCACTGAGCCTTTAATGTCTGTAGGAATTAACAAAAAGCTTCATTAAACTGCAAAACATTTGTGCTCTGACCCCCAAAGGAGATGCTCATCCCTGGCTTATGTGAAAGTCGGGTAAAACACAGTCTTCCTTACACACACACTGAAGGGAAATGAATGACAAAACACTTTGGAGGTAACAAGCAACCCAAGTACCTCATCTCTTTTTCCACCCAGTCACCAGTTCAGACCCACACCCATGCTTTTTCATTCTCCTGTCACTAGTTCACAAGCTACATTTTTTACTCCTTAAAGCTCTTACCAGTAATTGTTTCAGCATTGTGGATTTCTTGCGATGAGGCAGAATGATTGTTGGACAGCACAGACATGTTGTATGAACTCCGTTGTGTTTCCTTTTAGGTTGGCAAATTGGTGAAGGTTAGTTTTTTGTTCTCTGACTCCAGTCTCTTTTGTAGTTTTGCTATGGGTCCTAAGGGAAAAGGCATAATTGAAATGATCTCATTTGCAAAGCACAGATAGACCATTGTTAAAGTTATCCTTTAATCACCAAAGGCAGCGAGCTGGGCCCAGTGAGGTATTAGTTCAATTGATGCAATTCTGCTGCTGGCACCATTCCTGATCTGCACTGATATAAGAACTGTAGAAAATATCTTCTTCCTCTTGCACTAGTTTTAAGGCTATTTTAAAGCATCAGTTTTTGCTCTGAACAGCCTCCAGTTTTTATGTATATTGAGCTAAACTCATCTGGCCTATTTTCTGTGTACGTCCTTGGTGCTTTGTGTTTCCTATTGGCTGTGTTTCTGCAGCTGCCCAATTAGTATCCAATTCTTTGGAGGTGTCAAACTTTCACTGCTGGTGAGACACAGAGGCTGAGATAGAATTTAGGCTGTTTGAATATATCCCAAATGTTTTCTCTCTCCTTTTCAGTTCTTGAAGTACTTTTTCCAAAAGCCTCCTTGACTGGTTACTCAGATTTCAAGTCTCTCTGAACTTTGCTTAATGTAAGGGGATATTTTTCTCTAGGGGTCTCCCATCTACATCCTGGAACAACATCACCCCTGCTGATGATGTGAGTTTTGGAGAAAGCCCCACCAGGGCAGGGGTGGGAAGGCAGTCAAACACCTGAGGCATTCGGTCCAATAGAGTTTGTGAAACCTGCAGAGCAGTTGCAGCAAAGACCTGGAGGCTCCACCCTCAGTGCACACCTTGATTTCTCTGATCTGAAACCCTTCTCATAAAACTTTTCTTGTTCCTGTGGTTGATTTAAATTCCTGCTACAGGGAATAAGACTGAAAAGCAGGATTAGACAGAGGATACTGGCATATGGCAAATAATTATCAGTGCAATCCTCAGAGATAAAAAGTGCTTTATAATATAATTTTAGCTAAATGTAGGAAACCGTTTTTAAGATTAACTTATAAATATTAATTTTATTAAGGTACTTTTAGTCTGAGGTTGTTTTGGTTTTTAATAGGTTTTTTTGCACATCACTTTGGAAATAATGCCAAAAGCTACAGAAGCACTAGCTGTGCTAACTATAATTATTAAGCTCAATAATGCAAATAAAAATGCTTTATTGCTAGAATCATTTGGCATATATTAGTTCCTCTGACATTTTTATGTTCCAGTAGCTACATACCAGTGGCCAGTAGCATGGGAATCAATAGATAAGGCATTCATGGTTTTAATATACCAAAACCTTTATTCAGTGTTTTTCCCTTGCATCAAGCTGCTGTGCAAAAAAAAAAAAAAAAAAAAAAAAAAACCAAGAAAAAAAAATCTAAAATGCCAAAGTAAACATGCAGATAGTTCTAAAAAATAATGCAGTAAATCCATCCACCATGTTCCCAAAGCATTGGGTGAGTGTGTTTTATACACTCAGATGATTTAGATGACACCATCGCTGCAGAGCAGGTCGTGTCACACAGGTGGGTGTGTGGATGGGACACATCTGTCCCTGGCACACCCCCCCACCATCCATGGAGAAGCAGGCGGTGAGTGCGTGTGGTTTCTCGAGGACACGGGCCAGCACCTGCGCTAGTCCGACTGAGACACTGTATCTCATGTCACAAACTGCAAAGAAGTTGCTGCGATTGCCCCTCCCCTGTATTTTTTGGTTTCTCACCCAAAGGAGGGGTCCTGCGGGCTCCTCTCCCCGGGAAGCCGCGGTCGGAGCGGGGCGGGAGCGGGACGGGCAGAGGCGCCGCCGGCTCTGTTTGCGGTTCCATGGAAACCCGCGCTCCCGTTGCCAGGCGGCAGCCGACAGCACACAGGCACGGGAGGGGTCGTGGAATCATTGAACGGTTTGGGTTGGAACGGACATTAAAGATCCTCTGGTTCCAACCCCCTGCCATGAGCAGGCACATCTTCCACTAGACCAGGTTGCTCCAAGCCCCGTCCAACCTGTCCCTGGACACTCCCAGGATGTCTGGCTGCAATGCAGACACATGAGCAGGTGTTCTGAGCAGGCAGCTTGCTGGAGTTCAAATCAGATGTTGGTTTGAACTCCCTTGGAAAATGAAGGAAAATGCTGTGTTGTGAGAGGTCCCCCTGGGCTTGCTGGGTTTTCTATCCATTATTCATCTCAGAAAGAATTTCTTCACTGAAAGGGTGGTCAGGCATTGGAACGGGCTGCCCAGGGAAGTGGTGGAATCACCATCCCTGAAAGTGTTCAACATGGCACTTAGTGCTGTGGTTCAGTTGGTGTGGTGGTGTTTGGTCAATGTTTGGACTCGATAATCTTGAAGGTCTTTTCCAACCGTAATGATCTTGTGATTCTATTCTATGACTATTTCTGTCCCTGAGGCCCAGGAATTGAGTATTTAGCTCCATGTCTGCAAGCAAAGGGTTAAGGAAATGAGAGCTGGAGCCCCTGGTTGTGGAAACGATCATAGTTTATCATTTCCTAGCCTCTGCCTTGGTCTTTCTGCTTGTAAAGTGTGAACAGTCACAGTTTGGAGACTGGATATCAGTTGAAAAAGAGTGATACATTTTCACAGAGGGGAAGATCCTTAAATGCCCCTATTTACTCTTTCTGGTTTCTCAGAAGACCAAATCAATTCCAAATGGACTGTGTTCTTCTTTAGACTCTTTAGAATCTCTATTAATACAATTTCAGCTTTCAGAAATAGCAGCTTCTTTCATTTACTGACAGGTTTTCAAACAGCTTTCTGTATCTGAATAACTTGTGCAATAAATAGCTTGAATTACTGTAAGTGCAAACTCCCATTTGATTGTTATAGTTCTTTTCTCTAATTGCTGATTATCAAGAGACTGGATTCAGGCAACAGAAGAAAAATGCTTATATAGGAAGAAATTTTTCTTTATTCTGCCCATGAATGCTTTGATTTTGAGCAGTGATGCAGAAAACCACAGTGCTATCTTTAGTATGTTTTGGGAAATTTCCCAAATGTATCAGGGAATATGTATAAAAAATGACACTATAGAATAATTTCTATTACCAAAACCAAAATAAAAATCAGGACTAAATTGTACTAAAGATGCGTTTTTCTAAAGGCATAATATGAAATGGCTTTTGTTCAGAAATACCAGTTTATTACAGAATTGAGAGTTTGCTGCAGTGGTAACATCACAGAAATAGACAACAGAAACTGAAGACATTTGAACAGCTCTGTCTCTGTCTGGCATAATCTCTATATCAATGAATTATACATTTATATATCCATTGCTCTGTTCTGAACTATCCTTGCTAACCACTTATTTCCCAGAAGTGGAACAGAGGTTATTGAAAAGCTGAGATGCATTTTGTGAATTCTTGGAAATGTGCAAGCTCTTCATAGCTTGGGTTCACTATTTGTGTCCTACACATGCCATGACCCACTTAGGCTTTGTGTTTCCTTGAGGGCAAAGAAGTTTTTAAGGCCAGAAGGACATCTGGGGTCTATTCTTAGCCACCATTAACTTGGTTAATGAATGGAATAAATAGCATGTGCAACATCATGGGAAAAATCTGCCTGCTGGCACAGGCTGTGCAGCTGACCAGTCCTGCAGGTCCTTAAGGGTTTCTGGGTTCTGTAGTGGCACTTCAGGGCACCCCAGTTTTTGGGATTGTTAAATGTTTGGACAGTGCTTCCTCGGTGCCCAGCTGAGAAAGTCAGGCAGTTGGCATGGTAAGAAAGGCAGGTGGCTGCTTATGTTTCCAACAGGATGTCTGAGACTTTGGGACTTGTAGGGGGTGATTTTGTTAGGGCACAGGATTAGGATTTCAAGATATCATAATTTCTTTGCTCAGTTTTTTCATGAAGGGATTACTTCTCCATTCGGTCACCCCATGGGCATGCGGGGATGCTGATTCTACTACAGAGGTGCTGTGAGGGTTAATTAGTGATGGCAAAACATTTTGAAATGGCTGATTGAGAAATACTGACAGAGATGAAAGCCGAATAAGTATCTAGATAAATAAATATTCCTTTGTAGTCTTATCATTACAGGAAATTCCCCGTGTACCCAGGATGCTGCACAGGTCACTGAGCAGTCATCTCCCCATTGCCCAGAGTGTTCTCAAGGGGACTCATTTATTTCAGTATTTCACTTTAGTTTCTGTGATGTGAGCCACAATATGTGCCAGAGAGAAAAGCCTGGCAGCCACCAGCAAACACCACAGAAACACCAAAGGGATTGGCAGATTTTTCTTTCCCTGGAGCTCTTGTTCTGCTCTTTCCCTGTGAATTGTGCAACTGCAGAACCTGGAGAACCCCAGGAGGGAGAAGAGGAAGTTGGAGCCTATTCCCATGATTAAAGACAATGCAGAAGAAGGTATCCTCAAGTGAGTGTCCACAAGACAACACCTGCAAGAGCTCTGCTGAAGGCAGTGCAGCCAGCTCTCTGCTTCAGTATGGTCTCTGGTGAGCTATCAGTAGAAGTTTTTCTGCTGCTGGGTCTCTCTGGGACACTCTTCTCCTGCCTGTCTCCTGCCTGGGGGGAAGTAGATAGTTTTGGAGATCCCATGGAGAATATGTGGCTGCTCTCACACTTATGTTGAGTTCTGTGCAGGCTGCTGAGCTCTGCAGGGAGGCTGAAAGGGGAAGAAAGAGTGACCGTGTGGTTCTCCTCCATTTTTACCTTATTCAGACTATAAATCCCTCCATCAGCACCACAGGTCAATGAAAAGATGCCAAAAGAAACAGTACTTGATACCATATCCATCCCATCTGACCCCAGCATGTCTCCCTGCAGATCATCTCCCTTCCCAGCACCAAACCATCGTGAAGGCCAGGCTGAACGGCTGCACAAATTGACTGCTGCATCAGCACAGCAAATCCAGGGCCTCTCAACAGCAACAGGGATGTCTCCTGTCTCCTTAGGTCATAGGGTACAGGGAAGTGCTGGCCGGATGTAAAAAGCATCACTACAGCTTGGGGTGGAGCCATCCCAAACCAGGTGAGCAGCTATTGAAGGTGAGCATTAGACCTCCCAGGAACAGCAAAGCTGTGGTACCCAAGTGCTATGGCCCCACAGGCTCTAACAACTGGGACTGTTGTTTACCCCCTGCTCTCCAGGTGAAGCTTATTTCCGGGAAGGATTTTATCTCAATGGAAAATTTTCCAGCTGGGAAGTTGTCCCCGGTAATCCTTGCATGTCCAGAGGCAGCCACGAGATGGCAGCAGCCCTGTACTGCCGGGACTGGGGATTTGGCTCTGTCCCACTCTCGCCCCTTTCACCTTATAGATGAGGTCTCCAGGCTTGACGAGCACCAAGAAACCCTGGTCCATCCTCTGGGTTGAAGGAGAAGTGACTCCAGAGCGGGGCTCTGAAAGAAGACCTGTGAGCTCAGCTCCCACCTTTGCAAACAAGCTGATGGAGTAGAACCCACTCAGGTTTTTGTTTGCTACCACTCATGCCCAGCCCCAGTGTATTCCTGGGATGTCTCATCTGAAATGAATGTGTGGTATTCTTTCAACTGCTTAGATTTCAATCTAGTGGATGAAAACTGCTAAAATCTCTGAAGGGTCACACAGAAGTGACAAGACAGCCCCTGTCATCTATCCTTTCACTGTGGGTACTCCTGCGCTGTGTAATGACTTGGACAACAAGCAGCAAGTGCTCAGTGATTTGTATTTCACACTTGTTCTTGCTGAGGATGCAGACTTCTTCCTGCTGGGAAGAAGAGAAAACGTTCTGCAGTGTTCACCTTGGGATCCCAGCCAGGTCTGGGACAGTTTCTTTTGCAATGTAAAGCTTATTCTAATGTGTGCTGAGACAATTGCACACAGATAAGGTCTGTGCTTTGCTCCAGCTCCCGGGCTAATGCAGCCAAGGCCATGAAGAGCCAGCTGACTTGGGCTCCCTGACATGTGGCTCAGTCAGTGTGGGGACTGCTTGGTGGTGGTGGTGTGGCAGAGCCTGATGCAGGTGCAGTGGAAGATGAAAGAATCTCAGAATAATGGCATTGGGGAGGGATCTCTGGAGGTCTCTAGTCCAGCCTCCTGGTCGAAGCAGGGGTAACTTCGAAGCCATGTCAGGCTGCTCAAGGCCTTGTCCAGCTCATTTGAAAACTTCTAAGGATGGATCCAGACAATGGAGAGTGAGATCTGGGAGGCTGAGCCTGGGCTCAGTGGGGTGACCCCACTGATTTGCTCTGATGAGAATACAAATGAATTATATGGCTGCAATTTCAAGGCCAGTACTGAATAACCACTTGGGCCTGACCCCCAACTAGGAACTGTAACTAGTTCCAGACTTCGCTCAGAGCTCCGTACTTTGGGGACCTAGGGGTTTGCATTTGGCCCATTGTAAAGAGAGCCACAAAGCTGCAGCCAAGGAGACTTTCCTAAGCTGGACTATAAATCCAGGCTGTTTGCAGGGACAAATGACCCAGGAACCTGAGGCTTTAACTTCATGATTTTGCATTAAGCTCTTGAGGCACAGTTCCAGCCTTTTTCCTGGCCCTTGCCTTGTGGCAAAACGTCAACTGCTGTGACTGCATGGGAACTGATCCAGCTGAAAAATACCCTGCCTGAGGAAAAGATCCCTTTTTATTATGGTCATTGTGATGGCTTGAGGAAGAGGGACATGTGGGCTTGGGGCTGTTGGAATTGCCCCTTTCAATGACAGCCTATGTTTTGGTCACCTTAGGAAGATAATGAAGCCACAGCCGGTAAGACAGGCTGATCCTGCAAGTCCTGCACACAAATTTCCTTCAACAAAGGCTTATGGAGCAGAGCAAAAAGGATTAGTAAAGTTATGGGTTGAGCTGCAAAGGAAGCACATGCTTCATGGCTCCAAACTCTTTCTGCTCATGTGGAATGGATTAAAGATAAAACCAGCCCTGTTATGTGCTTTGCTCCTGAGCTGTTTCGATCCTGTCTATCTTATTCTTCAGAGAATCTTGTATAGGAACTATTATCTGTAATTCAAAACTGTGGCTCTTGTTCCCCAGGTAGCTCATGGGATCCACTTCCCTTTGCCAGAGAATGAGGCATCACTGGGTACCAGGTGCAGTGGTTCAGGAATGCTTAGTGCCAGCCTGGCTGTTTTCTTGCAGGATTTGCCTGTTTGCATCTTTATTTGAAGTATGGAATACCAGGGCACAAGGAAACAAAGTGATTCTGCTGGTGGATCTCTGGTGGGACAATAACCAAATCCACATTTTACATCTGTTTAGCTGGAATCATGGACAGCACAAACATGTTCCTCATGAAACAACAGCTTTATTACTTAGAAACGCTTGGCAATTCCACATCCCATTCCTATTCCCTCGTCTGTGAGGGAATAGCACCTGTGTGAATGACCGCTGTTCTCCCTACCAGGATGTCAGCAGATCCTGTGGCTTGTTTTCCATTGAAATGTCTCCTCTTGGGTAAATATTACATCTGGAGTTGCTTTACCAGTGGCTTTCCTACCTGGAGTTTGTACAACAGGTCAATGCCCTGCTTGGAGATAAGAGGGGTACTTGCTGCCAGTGCTGTTTGCTGCTGTGAAATGCCACCCTGCTCTTCCCTCATCAGCTTCTCCTCCAAACATTTTTGAGTGCTGTTTAAGTCCTGGAGGTTTTTGCAAATTGAGGGAAATTTAATGTTAGATGTTGAGTGTTTGGACAGAGCAGAAGAACTTGTTTATTACAACAACTGTGACTTGTAAATTATTCATCTGTGTGTAATTGAAACACTCAGATCCTCAAAGGTCATGTTACAAAGAGTGAGGTGAAGGATCAGCGAGCTTCCAGCAAAACAGGAAGGTTAACAGGTCCTGGGGAACCCTTCTCCATCCACCTGCATCTACTCTATGACAATGCCTGTTTGTGGAAGAAAACTGTGTTTTGATAAGTGAAGTAATGCACAGACACATGTCTGGGAGGGGACATCTGTAAGGCATCTTCCTCTGTCAGTTTTCCCTCTAGGGGGAAACACAGATTTGAAACCTATTGCAGTGAAATGTATACAAGGTCTGTGGGCACAGAGTGTCAGTGCACAACAAGCTCTGGCCTTTTTGAAATGGAGAAGAAGCTTCTAAAGACCAAGAGGGACCAAGAGGGACCAGAATAGCTGGCTAAGCAGAAAGGAAGCCTGCAGAGTTCTACTCAGCAGTTCTGTCTCCAGACGACACCAGACTTCAACTAATTAAAAAGAGCAGATGCTAGCTGAAACATTAATTGAAACAACTATGATCTCTTGTCTGTTCTTAAATCTGTGTTCTAGCTCTCTCATAGAGGATTTGGAAAGAGAAAGAGTTAACCCTTCTGGTGGCTTATTATTTTGTTAGGCACAACATGTCCTTATAAGATAGCATAATGAAACTTCTATGAATAGGTTTGGATACAGGTTTTTTTCTGGTAAAAACAATTCTGCCTAATAATGCAGAACCATCGTCACAAACAGCATTCTCAGCCCTTCCTTCTCACCATGTTGCCAGTAAAGTGATCTTGCTCAGCTTTCAAAGGCCATGTAGCAGTGCTGTGCACAGGGCCAGCTGCTGTTCTTCCCCATACGTATTGTATTAAGAGGATACCTCTTTGTTAACCTGTGCTCATTTGTTCCCCTCAGCCTGTATTCCTTCTCATTAGACTTGATGTATGATCTGTAGCAAGTGCAAAGAGCTCAGCTGACACCTGATATGCTTATGAATAGCCTGTCTGCCCTGCCACGATTCTGTAGCTATCTCAAAGGGAGCAAACACTCGGTGTATTGCACTCCTCCTGGAACTGGGATGATACCAAAGATTTTCCCCTAAAGCATCCAATTCTGAGCTCTGCTGGAAGCCAGGTACTTGACTGCAGGCACCTCTGCTCTGTTCCAGATTGGCAGTTCCTTGGTCTCATCCTAGTCTCCAGTTCTTGAGAGATCAGGCAAAGGCATTGCTCAAGCAATGCGGCTCTTCCACTGTTCCCTGTCCTCCCTTCTCCAGTCCCCTGCCGTGGGCAGAGGCTCCCTCTGCACAACTACAAGCCCTGGACGTTTCCTACTGCTTTGCTCACACTCCACCCCCAGGGTCCTGTTACTTCCTTCACTCCCACACCCCCAATTTCCTCCCTCTCCATCAGGGCTGGATTCTGTTTCCTCAATGGGCTCACCAAGTCCATCACAGGTCTGGCAATCCTTGTTGAGATGTGTCCTGTGACGCTTTCCTGAGCACCAGCACTCCCATCTAAATACAACATGCTCTGGCTTCCAGTATCCCTTAAATCCCAGAGCGTATCCCTTAACCCCTTTTTCCTTCGCTGACCTCCTTGAGTGATAACTATTGTCATTCCCCACACCCTACTTGCACTGAATGAGGCACAGAATTAGCCTCAAATTTGGCTCCCAAAGAGATTACCAGAGAGAGATGAATTTAGGCTGGAGATCTATGGAGGATTATGGGCTGATTGAGATATTAAAGATCATCCCTGATTCGTTTTCTTACAGGTCTGATGCAAGAAGTGAGTCAGAGACCTTTTGACACAGTTTGACCTGACAGATGCAGCGACTCAGTGGCAGTGTGAGGAGCTCATATTGTTTTGTAAATGGAATAAAGTTCATTTAACACAGTGGGCTTGTATTTGCTGTTAACTCAAAGGCCTCTCACCTGAAAAAAACCTGCAGATCACTTACCCCATCACCACTTGCAGGTGGAAATAGCTCCCGAGGGTGCCGCCTTTGGTGGAGGAGGTGGGTATTTCTGACAGGTGACCCCCTTTCCCAAGGCAGGGTAAAGGTCCTTTTCCTGTGATACTGAGTTCATCGCACTTGAAATATTCACAGTCCCCAGCCCCTTTTTGAGTAGCCAGGACCCTGCCCAAAAAATGCTCTTCCTCCCCTGGGCTGTTTCTCTCAGCAGTGCTGCCAATACTGATCTAATATAACTGCTTTTTTTGGCTGCTTTCTCTTCCTAGGTAGGAATGCTGTCATAACTAAACGACACCTGATTCCCATGGGTCTCTTTAGCCTGTAGGAAAATCGTTTTTTTCCTGTAGCTCAGCTGCAGGTAGGCATCTCCCAGGACTGATGGCTCAGGTAAGTAGCTCCTCTGACTCGGTTCTTGTTGTGCTGAGCTCTCAGTGCCTGTCTTCCTTCTAGATGTGTCTTGCTGACTACTGACAGCCACAATTGAATGGCTCACACACTGAATGATGGCTGATTTTTAGACATTTAGAGGTTAGGAGGTGAAGTTAATGGAAACTTGTTTCCTAGTGCTTCCCTCCCACGTTCTGCCAGCATCTCCCTCTCTCAGCCCCCACTCCAATTTTGCTGCCCTCCAAGCCTCTGCTGTGCTCTGCTGCCCATCCCGTTTTCGCTCTCAGGCAGGTTCTGGTTCAGATTCTGCCCATTTTCTTCCAACAGGACACAAACTCCCACTACAGACTCCACAGCCTGTATCCCTGCAGCTCATCCCCACTTCTGCAGGGCTCTCCTCTGTGTTGGGTACAGCTCCCACTGGAGCAGCCATTCCCTTGTGGTCCCCCAGAGCCGTGTTTGCAGCTGAGCTGTCTGGAGAGAGCATCAGCGTTGCTGCATTTGGGCTGGGGGCAGGTTTATGATTGCTCCTTGAGTTGTTCTTTGTGGCTGCTAACTATGCCCCAGAGATGTAAGGTGTGTCCTGACCTCAGACTTTTCCCTGTGGAAAATGGGGAAAATGGTGCTCAGAGCCTCTGAAGGGAGTTTCTTTCGGGTATGGCAACAGTCTTACCTGGCTGAATGCAGACTTGTGCCAGGTTAAGCCAGTACCCTTTAATGCCTTCTCTGTTCTTGTTCCAATGCAGATTCTAAATTAGAAACCCTACCACTTGCATATTATATGAGTGTGGATTTTGCAATACTGGGAGGCTGCTGAAAGGCTCAGATGCATTCAGGTGCCCAGTGCAACGGTTTTCCCTCGTCACCCCATCTCCCCAGGGGTTGTGCAATATTGGCAAACCTGGTCAGCCCAGTATCCTAGGAGCAGCTCAGGGGGGCCCTGGGCACTGGCTGACTCAGCAGGGACCCTGCTCCCTGCCTGCTCATGGCTTTTCCCCCTGTCAGCAGCAGTGTATCCAAGGCAAATTACCTGGGTTTGAGACAGCTTTGGTTCCAGCTGACATTGGCAGACTCTGTCTTACTATGAACCTTTTAGATACAGCAGCAGGACACCATCCAGGTATGGAAAACAGGCTGAAAACACTTGCCATGCTGTACCCTCTCCAATGGTCTGCCACGTGTGTGTATTACATGAGCTAAAATTTATCGACCCAAATTTCCCTAGACTGTACACTGAAGGGAAAACATCTGGTTCCTGTCTTTCAGATTGAACCCCTTTTGCCAGTTCCCAGATAAAATCTAATGGAGCTTGTTCAGGCTATTCAGCTCAGCAGTGGCTGTGGGAAAGGGTCTTGTAAAGTAAGGGTGTTTAGATTTGTTATCCACGTATTTAGTTTCCCGTAGACCTTTCGGTGCTTTCTTAGCCTGGCCTATGGCTAAAACATTCTCAAGGGACTAGTTAAAAGGCTCTTTTTATTTTCTTGATACTTTTTCTGGCATCTTGTAAAAAACTTTCTGCCTTTGACACTGTTAAATGGTGAAGCAAGGAGTTCTACTGCTACAATACATCTAAGCTGTTTTAAGTTTCTCTGAATATATAGCATTGCAATGAGCCAAGCCCAGTGAACCTCCAGCAGTTTGCCTGATTTACCTCCCACTCCCCATACACTATGTTAGACCTGCGACTTAGGGCTACGCTCATCCTGGGTCACAGTTTGATCTCGTTTCAGGAGGTAAATCCTGCAGCTCCATTAAAGTGTGGCTGTTCAAGACGGCCCCTCAAAGCAGCCCACGTGGCTCTTCTGCGGGTCTGTGGGCTTGAAGGCAGCCAAAGAAGGTTCCTGGCACATTTTCCTCTCGAAAGTGGGTGTGAGGGAGGAGGAGGCGGCAGTAGTTGAGCTGACAAAATTTTTTTGTCTCCTGTCTGGGTCTCAGTGGGCTCCAAAAGAGGGTCGAGAACTGCCAACTCCTCAGGCTGGCCCTGTCCCACACAGAGGCTACCTTCCAGTGTGGCTCAGGAGCCTCTGCTCAAGACAATTTCTTTCAGCATTTTTATTGCTTTCTGCACTTCTTGTTCTGGGTTGCTGAAGCTTTTCTTCTGCCTTGTATTTTTACGAGGATTCATTGCACCCACTGGGCTCTGATGACTGGGACACCTTCCCATCGCTGGTTTGCAGCAAAGCCATGGCACAGCTGAGCCTCAGCCGGGATGCCTGGACTTGGTCCGGCTCTGCCCTGACAGGCTGCAGATCCACCAGCAGCTCTGTTCAGCCCTTTATGGGAAAAACAGAACTCATTCCTTTTCTGAAAAACCTCCAACTCTTGATTCTTTGGCCCACCTTTGAGCCCAGTGGTCCCTCCATTGCTCATCTTCTATTGCCTGGACAGAAATGTTGGCCCTTCGTGTTCTCCTTGGAGGTGACATCCCACGTGTGAGTTCAGCGTTGAAACATTTGCCCCAAGCATCCAGTCAAGTGGCCTGGGGCTTTCTGTGTTCCTGCCCGTGTCCAGTTCCTTTGGCTGCCTTGGAGCCTTTTTGTGTGCTCTGATTTCTCTCCCTCCCACCATCTCCAAAAGCATCACTATCTTCTGGCTTTCCCATGAATTTTCATTGATTCTTTTACCCAGAGAAGACCTAAACATCTCCACACACTCATGCTAACTGATATTTGATATTGGAATATTTGTATCCTTTATTTCTCTTTTCAAAGCCCATTTGTACTAGGTAATGCCCCCAAAAAAAGAAAAAATCCAAGAAACCCTCTCCTATACCCTATGCAAACAGCTCTGCTTGTGAAGGTAAACAGGGGTTTTTTGCCATCATTTTGCTGCTGCACAGTGACTCTCCTCTATTTTAAAATGTTTTTGTCTGAAGGCAAATTATTAAACAGCTTTTTGAGCAGACTTTCATCATTTTTTTTGCCAAACTCTTGCCGTTCCTACCCACTCAAGGCTGATCCTGACGGCGCTGAGCTGCGTTGCTGTCAGGCATGGATGTGCCCGATTCCTTGGTAAAGTCTGTTTTGGCATTGCACAATGTGTCTGTTCTCTGGGGGGGCCATGCGCAATCTCTGACTGGGACAGATGTCTGAGCTTGATCCCTCTGGAATGACGTCAAAGGCTGCAATACTGTCCCTCTTCTCTGGGCTGGCAGGGCCCGGGCTGGCCATGTGCCACTGCCGCAGCTGCGCGTGAGTTTGTCCCCGCGCAGGGTGGTTAATGGGTCACCGACTGGCAGCACAGGCGGCCCCTCTGCCACTTTGCGTGGTGGAGATCTGCTTACACACCTGGCCCTTCTTCCTTGCAAATTCCTGCTGCTCCAGAAGCCTCTGGCTGAAAGCAAGTGGGAGTTGATTTTTAAAAGGAGGATCCTCCATTGTCGACCCATAAGCAGATAAAATACTGTCAAACTCGCAGCCTTTTTCCTGTTCTTGGGATACTGGCTGGCACAAGCAAATGCCATTTATCATGGAGCTGCAGCAGGCAGCACAGTAGGGGGTGCCAGTAAATCCCTGATGTGGCTTGTCTTTCATCTCTGTGGCACTGGTTAGGAGGATAGGAGTAGTTACCTATAAGCAGCTATTTTGGATGCTTGTGAGAAGGCAAGAGCAACAGCGGCTTCCGCTTGTACCCAACAAGCCGTGGTGAAATAGGGTGACACACACTGCTACACCTGATTGTTTGCCTCAGGGGAGGTTTCCCAGTGCTGCAGGGAAGGAAGAGACTGGCACATCCTTGGGGCAGGACTTCCCTGAGGCACATCAGCCTCTGCACTCCCTAGGGGCTGTGGCAGGGCAGGCAGGTTGGGAAGCACCCTGTGCTGCTCAGCAGGATGTGATTCATTGTGACCTCCCGGCACCACTGCAAGCATTGCCTGTGCCCCGCTGGACCTACCCGTTGGTGAAGTGGCTGCTGACATTTCACATCTGCCAGACCCAGTCTGAAGTGGGCTGAATCCAGCCCAAGATTGGTGAAATGCTGTTTCTGATCCTCTCAACAGTGTGCTGGCCCAAGCCACGGTCCATTTTGACAGCTCTGCACATAGGTCAGGGGGAAGGAAGGAGCATCTGACGTTTTCAATTTTTCTATGAATGCCCAGACAGTTCTTAGGTTCTTCTTAAAAAGCTGATGACAGATTAAGAACAGCTCCCAAGTTTGGATTTTGGAAATACTGGGATTTTCCAAGTTGTCAATCCAGCAGGAGGAGTTCCAGCATGCCTGGGGCTGTGCACAGCATCCTCTCCTTTAGGCAGTTCAGGGCTGCTGGTGGTAGCTGCTCCCAGAGACTTGCCCTGGGGAAAGTGAAAGTGAGACTGCTACATTAATAGGAACATTTTTGATGGCTCATGAAGTGAAAAAATATAAGATGTAGAAAATTGTATTAAAAAAATTGCTAGCCTTACAAAAATGGAAGAGATTGGTTTTTAGCATGTAGGTGAAGAGGTAAGGTATTTCTCAAAAATCTCTAATTTTGAGCTGGAAATAGGACTGAGAC